CGTGACCGCGCCGCGGAATTGGGACGACAGCGGCGGAGCTCGCGATCAGGCGCCGCAGCGCTGGGAAAGACCGACGGGAGAGGCGGGAGGCGGGCAGCTTAGGTTCGACGCTCACCAAAGGTGGCAGCGAACGCTCGCCGCCACAGTGATGACCGCCCCGGCTCCTGCAAGCCTCTCTGAGGCACACCTAGCCTTTTCCGATTTTGTGGGTGTGGAAACAGGCACGGGTCCAGTGAGCAACTCCGTGTTGGTTGAAGCTGAGCTCGTGTGGAGAACTTAGAGGCTTCCCAGGGCGCTCTGTGGACGGCGCGGGGTGCTCGCCCGACCCCAGACCTCGTGCTCCCCAGGTGAGGCAGCGGGCCCGGAGGTGAGGCTCAGGTCACCCGGCGGCCACCTGGGTGCCTCAGGAGGGGACCTGTTGAATGTCGCCCCAGAATGCCCTGTTTTCTGGGCAGGGAATCACAATAAAAAAAGAAACCAAACACTGCCCTGGAGTCTGACCCTGACCCGACTCTTAGAGACCCCTCCTTGGCTTTCCGAGGTGGTATCTCTACGAAAGTAGATTGCCCAGCCTTCTTTTGAGGAGGGGCTGGTGGGTTTGAACCGCCAGCCTTCTGGTTAGCAGCCAAGTGCCTTAGGCACTACGCTACCAGAGCTCCCAGAGACTGTAAAGGAGTGCGAAATCGGATGGGGCCGTGGACATCTTACAGGCCCGCGTTCAGGTCGACCCTCCGCCCCAGGCTGATTGCCACTGTTCATTATTGAGGTTTCCTGAGCAGCCCCCGGCCCGGGACTGCTCTCCAAGGCCGCAGACACAGCAGTGAGCGACCGAACAGCTGGCTCGGCAGACAGAATTAAGTCCCTCCTGGAAGACCCTCGCTCAAACCAGTGCTGCCACAGCTGCCTCCCCTAGTGTCCTCAGGCACCCTTCCTGGGAAACCTGCTCCCTGGGACGGTGCCCGCACCCTCCCCCACCCCCCCCCCCCCCCCACACATACTCCCCATCCTTATCAAAGAGACACCCTGAGGATGTAACCTGACTGGGCCGGTAGTACCCAGACCCCCACACCTTCTAAAGTGTGCCTCTCCACTGCACCTCAGCTCTCCTCTGGGAATCATTACTTGTTTTCACCCCAAGGCCATTTCCCACCTGTTAACCCCTTAGGAGCCCTGGTGGCCCCAGTGGTCACATGTTTGAGCTGCTAATCAAGGAAGAAAAGCCCTGACCCTGACTATCTGCTTCTTTCAAGATTATAGCCAAGGAAACCCTACAGGGCAGTTCTACAGCCTTTAGGGTTGCTATGAGTTGGCAGTTGAGTCCAGACCACTCAACACCAGCCCATCCTCAATCTCTGTTGTTGCTGAGTAAGATAAAATCTCAAATTTATATCCTTAAAACAACCTGCATATATGAGGTAAAAGACAGCCCGAGGTCATGAGAATAATCTAATCAGTGAACCCTAAATTTGTTATTGGGAGCTCTGCTGGCTAAGGCATTTTACTGCTAACCAAAAGGCTGGCAGTTCAAACCCACCAGCCACTCCTCCAGAGGAAGACTGGGCAATCTACTTCCATAAAAATTTACTGCTTCTGAAACCCAAAGAGGGTCGCTAAGAGTGGTGATGTTAGGTACCATTGAATCAGTTCCAAGTTACAGTGATTGTGTACCACAGAATGAAGTACTGCTTGATCCTGAACCATCCTTGCAATTGTTGCTATGCTTGAGCCCATTGTTGTAGCCACTGTATCAATCCCTCTCACAGAGGGCCTTCTTTTTTCACTGATCCTCTACTTTATCAAACATGATGCCCTTCTCCAGGGACTGGTCCCTCCTGATAACGTGACCAAAGTACAAGAGATGCAGACTGCCCATTTCACTCCTAAGGAGCATTCCAGCTGTACTTCTTCCCAGATAGATTTGTTCATTCTTCTGACAGTCCATGGTATATTCAGTATTCTCCAACACCAGAATTCAAATGCATCAATTCTTCTGTCTTCCTTATTGTTATCCAGCTTTCACATGCATATGAGGCTACTGAAAAGACAATGGCTTGGGTCAGGCACACCTTAGTCTTCCAAGTGACATCTTTGTTCTTTAACACTTTAAAGAGATCTTTGCAGATTTGTCCAATGCAATAAGATGTTTGATTTCTTGACTGCTGCTTCTATGGACTTTGTGGATACAAGTGAAATAAAATCCTTGAAAACTTCCATCTTTTCTCCATTTATCATGATGTTACTTACTGGTCCAGTTATGGGAATTTCTGTTTTCTTTGTGTTGAGATGTTACCCATACTGAAGGCTATCGTCTCATCTTCATCAGTAAATGCTTTAAGTCCACTTTGCTTTCAGCACCCAAGATTGTGTCATCTGCATATAAACCAAAATCTCACTGCCATCGAGTTGATTCCGACTCATAAAGACCCCCTTTGGGTTTCTGAGGCAGTAAATCTTTACAGAAGTAGATTGCCTGGTCTTCCTTCTGTGGAGTGGCTGGTGGGTTTGAACCACCAACCTTCTGATTAGTAGTCAAATGCCTTAAGCACTACACCACCAGAGCTCTTTATCACCTGCATATGGAAGGTTGTGAATGAGTCGTCCTCCAATTGTGATGCCATGTTCTTCTTCATATAGTCCAGCTTCTCAGATTATTTACTCACCGTACAGATTGAATGGGTGTTGTGAAAGGATATACCCCTGAAGCCCACCTTTCCTGATGGTAACCCATGCAGTATCCCCTTGTTCTGTTCAAATGATAGCCTCCTGGTCTATGTACAGGCTCCTTATGAGCACAATTAAGTGTTCTCCACAATTTGTTATGGTCCACAAAGTCAAATGCCTTTACATAGTCAGTAAAACACAGGTAAACAACTTTCTGGTATTCTTTGCTTTCACCCAAGAGCCATCTGACATTACCACATTCTCTTCTGAATCTGGCTTGAATTTCTGGCACTTCCCTGTTAATGTACTGCTACCACTGTTCTGGAATTATTTTCAGCAAAATTTTACTTGGACATGATACTGATATTGTTCAATAATTTCTGCATTGTTTTGGACCACCTTTGTTGGGAATGGCCTTAGATATGGGTCTTTCCAGTCAATTGGCCAAGGAGCTGTCTTCCAAATTTTTTGGCATAAATGAGAAGAGTGCTTTCAGCATTATATCTGTTTGTTGAAAGATCTCATTAGGTATTCCATCTATTCCTGAAGCCTTGTTTTTTGCCAATTCCTTCAGTGTAGCTTGGACTTCTTCCTTCAGTACCTTTGGTTTTTGATCGTATGTTACCTCCTGAAATGGTTGAACATCAACCAACTCTTTGTAGTATGGTGACTCACTATTCCTTGCATCTTCTTTTGATGCTTTCTGTGTTGTTCAATGTTGTTGTTGTTAGGTACCGTCAAGTTGTCTCCGATTCATAGTGACTTTATGCACAACAGAACAAAACACTGCATGGTCCTGTGGCAACCTCACAATCCTTGCTATACCTGAGCCCATCATTGCAGCCACTGTATCCATCCATCTAGTTGAGGGCCTTCCCCTTTTTCATTGACCCTCCGCTTTACCAAGTATGATATCCTTTTTCAGTGAATGGTTTCTTCTGATAATATGACCAAAGTAGGTGAAACAAAGTCTGGCCATTCTTATTTCCAGGGAACATTCCAGCTGCACTGCTTCCAGGGTAGATTTGTTAGTTTTTTTAGCAGTCCATGGTACTCTCAGTATTCTTTGCCAACACCACAACTCAAAAGCATCAACTTTTTTTTAAGTCTTCCCTTATTCATTGTCCAGCTCTGACATACATAAGAGGCAATTGAAAATACTATGGTTTGGGTTAGGTGCACCTAGTCTGCAAGGAGACATCTTTGCTCTTCAGTGCCTTAAAGAGGTCTTTTGCAGCAGATTTGCCCAATGCAATACATTGTCTGATGTCTTGACTGCTGCTTCCATTGTTGTTGATTGTAGAACCAAGTAATAAGAAGTCCTTGACAACTTCAGTCTTTTCTCCATTTATCGTGATGCTGTTTATTTGTCCAGTTGTGAGGATTTTGTTTTCATTATATTAAGATGTAATCCGTACTACAAACTGTAGTCTTTTAATCTTCATCAGTAAGTTCTTCAAGTCATCCTCACTTTAAACAAACAAAGTTGTGTCATCTACATATTTTGTCCATAGAATCCTTCAGTATTGTAGCTCAAGGCTTGAGCTTTTCCTTCAGTTCTTTCAGCTTGAGAAATACCAAGCATGTTCTTCCTTTTTGGTTTTCTAACTCCAGGTCTTTGCACATTTTCATTAGGAGAATCAGACTGTCATTATAGGAGCTGACGGTCGATGGCAGGTAGTTGGTGAAGAACCAGGCTATTATAAGCACGTATGGAGTAGGAGATAGACTCTTAGTGGGTTCCATATTTGGGAGGAGTCTGAGTTGGTCCCTGTAAGTTGCCATATAGTTTCCTTATTATGGAATTAGGTTTGAAGGCAGGGAGCCGCAGAGGTGCTGATCTTCTTGGAGGCTGGGATTTATTTTTGGCATATCTGTGGGGTAGGGTGTTTAAGTTGTTGTTAGGTGCTGTTGAATTTGTTCTGACTCATCGCAGCTCTGTGTACAACAC